CATCGGTGCAAATTATAAGTCTGTATCATAATGTCTGCTGTTTTCGTGTTTGTTGGTTTGTTTGTAATTTGTTTTATTTTGTGAGTTGGTCATTTTTGCTGCTCCAGCCAGCCAGAGCATAACCCGCCGCCCCGCCCTCTCCTCCCTGTGCCGCAAGCAGCAGGCGCACCTCACAAACGGAGGGTGCCCTTACTCCCAGCAAATGGGCGATAGAAAACCAATGCCATTCCCAATATGCGCTGGCATGATGTCGGGGCAGCATGAGAACGAGCCGTGATGCCGCCCCCACCACGATGCCTCCCCGGGCAACCGCCCGTGCCGCCCATATCTAAAACCGCTACTGTATTCAAGAGTCAAAAGTGAGGCCATCTGTCTGACAGCTAAAGCTCGGCTGAAACTGGGTCATGCAGCAGGACAATGATCCCACGAACAGCAGGAAATTTCCAACAGAATGCCTGAAAAAGAGTCAATGTTTTGAAATGGACCAAACTGTAGTCTTGAGCTGTGCATAAAGGAATGCCAATGTAAAGTAGAGTGGGACGAAATTCCTCCACAAAAATGTTGATAAAGTCACACAGAAAACTATTACTTCAGCTTATTGCTGCTACTTGTGCTTCTACAAGCTACTTAATTCAAGGTGTTGATCTGTAAAGTGCTTTAAAAGCTTTCTTTATTGCATGCCTGAGTTAAGATGTTGTTTACAATTGCCATAGCAAAGATGTGATGAAGTGATGTATAGTGATGTTAGTAGGATTTAAACGGCTTCAGGACTCGTAATAATGTATCACAAGGTTCATTACACCAGCAGCACTGCTAGTTGGATGAACAACGCACACATGCATGGAAAATTAAAGATGCAATTTTTTATCTTGCACTTAATAAGAAAGCTGACCTTTCTTCTCTTGTAGTTTTTTGACCACATAGCTGCTTGTCTGGCTAACTATCTGGACAAGATGGGCATGAAGGACAAAAAGCTTCCTCTGGGCTTCACCTTCTCGTTTCCCTGCCAGCAGACTAAGTTGGATGAGGTGAGTGATTTAAAAGTTCTGCCCTCAAATCACAGAATTGGATGGATTTCAATAAAGATTCAATTCAGTTAATTTCTTTCTTGTATTTCTGTTTAAGTAGAACTCCTTTTGTTCTGTGTTTAGATATATAAAGAGTTGAAATTGTTTAAAATAAATTAATGATAAAATAACATAATTACTGTTACCATTTTAGTTGTTTCTGAATGAGTCAGATTTTTGTTTTTGACCTCTTCAGAAGTTCAAACTGCTACCATACTTTAGATATAATAATAATAATAATAATAATGTATATATAGTGCTTTTCTAGGCACCCAAAGCGCTTTACAATTCCACTATTAATTCACTCTCACATTCACACACTGGTGGAGGCAGCTACAGTTGTAGCCACAGCTGCCCTGGGGCAGGCTGACAGAAGCGAGGCTGCCATATCGCACCATCGGCCCCTCTGGCCACAACGACCAGAGAGCAGGGGGATCGAACCGGCAACCTTCCGGCTACAGATGAGCTTCCCAAATCCCTTGAGCCACGGTCGCCCCTAGATATCTCCTTTAAAGTGTTGCCTTTCCAGATCTGTGGCTCCTAACTGTAGCAGGGAGTCTGGTTTTTAGAAACGTCTTGTCTGTACGCTTGGTTGGTCATCTGATAACCTTTCTTGTCTGGACGAAGAAGGGGATGCGGAGAGCAGCGTTGCTCTGCTGTTGCATGAACTGGGCCTTTATTTTTTGTTCTTTCAGGGTATTGAAAATGGCGTGAAGTTTCTCTAATGGTCCTCTGCTGTCAGCTTTTACTTGCAGCAGTCAGTGAGGGCTTCATCACACTGCTGCTTTTCTTGGGTTATTACGTTGGCATTCTTTCTAACTCTTCTTTTCCTGTGCAAAAAGTGATGCGGTCCAGTCTGTGAGTATCTGGACACTTGCTCTTTGCGTTCTTGTTGATTTATTTCTTTATTTTACTACATTAAAGTGCCAAGTCTCAGTTTGTGTAAGTAAGGGAACAGCTGTGTGTTATATGTAACAGTTTTAACACAACACATTTGCCATTATTATGACAGCTCACTTCACTCAATAAGTTGCAAACATCTTCAACATTTACTGATATTGGAGTTTCCATCCTTGTTTCTAAATTGAGCGGCAAGTGCTGCAATTTAAAGCAATCGTGCTAAAAAGCCCTTTGTTTGCTTTGGCCACATGTTTTTTATGCTTAATTTTATGATATTTAAAGAATCTAGCTGGTTCTTAGCATGCACGATGCTTTTGTGTCATTGTGCATTTTACCTGTTGCTTCCATCAGCAGTGAAATATTCAATAAATGACAATATCACAGTTCTAATTTGACATACAGCCAACCTCCTATGCTTTTCCAAAACCACTTCTATACTTAAAATAATGGTTTGGGTTATGAGACTTTTTTCCCTTCAATTCAGTTTTTTCTGTTTCCATCTTTTTAAAGGAAGCTCATTTTAATTCATCAGTAGAAATTCGGTTTATGGAGGGTGGATGTTTTCGTAAATTGGCCCTAAGCGTACATCTTCAGGAGCTTTTTTTTCCCCCCGTGTACTCAAAAGGGTTTTTTTGTCCACCATGCAGAAGACTTCCTCAGCTTTAGCTATTTTCTACTTTGAAAACAAACTGATGTCTCTTGTAGATTTTTCTTTCTTTTTCTTGGTTTTTATTTATTTATTTATTTTTAGACAATTTGTTCTTCACATTTTTACTTTTTTTTTTTTAACTTCTCAAATTGACAGATAGCTCCACCACAGCCTAATATCCAACACTCACTCAGCTTGAACCCACAGGTGAGCACCTTTGTCCGTAAACATATGTTGAAACGACACGCAGCTTCCTAAGGTTTTAGTGACCAAACTGTTCCAGTACTTTCAGACACAGTTTTGCATATATTACAGCTGAGACTTGGTACTTTAATGCTGTCTGTTATATTTA